GAGTTGACCAAAACAGAGGCCAACGGGCATTCGGTCGGTGGTCAAATGTGGCCAGGGCCGCGTACGTGTGCGGTTCTCCATTTGGCCATTCGGTATTTCGTATTTCGTATTTGTGGATAGGACTGCGTCGAGCGTTTTGGCATTGAAACAAATTGAAAAGTTGCGTTTGTCCGTGAAATTGCAGCCCCTTAACCCCCTTTAGCCCCCCCTTTTCCCCGCACATGGAACACGAAGGCGATACTCCGGCTGGGCAATTACACCACGTCCCACACTTTGGGCCTGTCAATAACTTCATTTCCGGTACAACGTGATTTAATTAACGATTACCATGTCCCCTTGGCCAGTTTTTTTCTTGTTTTTATGTAACAATTAAGTGGGTTTCCTTGTGCGTGCCTCGTAATTGCAGGACGTGGCCGGTCAAAGGGAACTTCGTGCTCAGAAGGGGGATGCATACTGTATTTCCAGCTAATTCCGCACTAATTTCCCGCTCTGATCGGCACACAAATGCATCTCGCATTGATTCCATTAGCCGCTCCACTGCATTTCGCATGCATCGGCCAACTTTTGCACTTAACCTGGCCCACTTGGACCCCCATTTAACCACTCATAAACTAAAGGTATTTCGAACGAAATGGGGAATCCATCTAGGATTTTTCCCTTTATTATTAAAAACTCATTTTCCTTTTTTTATATTTCATTTGGTTTTTATTTTTCTTTATTTCTTTTATTTTTGTTTTATACATATTTTAACTTCACAAAAAAAATATTTGTTCTTTTAATTAAGTGTTTTCATGCTCATTTTGGGTTTTTCTTTTTCATTTGTTTTTTTTTTTGGTTCATGCAGTTTTGCATTTAAACGACATTTTCTTAGTTTTGAAACAATGTGTTTGTTTTTATTGCATGGAAAGTTGGTTTTTGTTCGTTTTCGTTTTCATTTTCGTTTGGTTTTATCATTTAAAATTTACACCAAAAAAGATCAGCTATGTTTACGACTAGTACATTAGTATATTTGTGTATATACTCGTAAGTTTATCAATTTGTAATTGTGTTTATAACGTGGCCCAATCGCTTTGGCCCAGAAGATGTACATCGATCGATTGATAACACTGGAAATTCTCTTAGTGGCCTAAAAACGTCGTTTGTCCTTTGTCCGATAACAATTCGGTTTTTGATATACTACCGCAGGCCATCCGGAATCGGTGATCGAAAATCGGGAGTCTGGAGTCCCCCAATAAATGTCGCTCTTAGGCCTATGCTATGACATGTATTTTCTGCTCTTTTTCTTGTTTTTAATCTTTTTGTAACACATAGTATATCGCTCACAAATAAATGGCTAATACAGTTTTTACATTAACAACTCAAAATATATTCAAGTGATTCTCTAAAACGAGAGTTTTGCGTCAATACTTTAGTTTTGTTTAATACTTACTTTCATTGGTAAAATTTGATTTCAACAGCTTATAAATTAGGAAAAAACACACACTCTATATGCATATATTTCTTTGGGTTTGGTTTTCAATTACTTGCGTTTCTCTAATCGTTAAGGCTTAGGCCTGGAAAATACTTGCAACTAGGTTGGCAATCCTCCAATTTATCAATTTTCTTCTCTAATCTTCTCTGCTTTTTTTGCTCTGTCAACTTGCCAACATTTTCTTTGGTTTTCATTCGTTATGTTTTTTTTTTGGTTTGAAAATTTGACACTTTGTTTTTGAAAAAGATTTTGCATTAGTATTTGATTGCTAATTCACACACAGATAAGTAGAGAGAGATAGGAAGAGAGAGACAGAGAGAGAGAGAGTGGGATTCATGTGTGTGTTAGTCTGGGGTGGGAGGGTATTATACCTATATGTATCCTATATATCCTTTCGATACTGGATATTGTCGTGCCCAAGATCAGATCATATATGCCACATATACGATATACGATATACGCAGTGGGAAACCAATAGTTCGAAGGATCTAACATTGAATAACCTTGGAAGTGGGCAGAAAGTCGATAACATTTATCCAAAAATAATACAGTTCTTCTCAAACTACGACAGCAACAGTTTTGTATTTAGTTTTTCGTATTTTGTATAGTATATGGTTTTATTACTTGGACTCGCGGTTTCTCGATTTCTTGTCTATTAAGAAGAAGTTTTTATTGTTTTTGAAAGCTTTTTTGTGGGTGTTTCGGCTAAGGTACAAATTTGCTACAGGTTCAATCTAAGTGGAATAGAGTTTTCGTTTTCGTTTTCTTTTCGTTTTTTCCGTCAGCTTCTCGGTTCATTTCGATTTTTCTGGAAGACTACAGCTAAGTACACAGCTATGTATTTAAAGGGTTTAAAAATGCAACAATTACTTTGAGTTTAGAGTTAATATAGAGAAAGATTTGTAGTTGGTTTAACGGCGAAAGAGAACCACTCACTAACTATGTACAACGAGATGTCCAATTAACCATTTTTCATTTTCATTTTCCATTTTCCTTTCCATTTTCCATTTATCTATTTCTAATAGTTCTCTGCTTTCTGTGTGTCACTTAGTTCTAGCTACAAAAAATTACAATTACACATCTATGCTCTTGATAAACACCGTATGCCTTGTATATATCAATATATATATGTATACATTATTGTGTAAATATAATATGCATATACAGCGGATATCGGTTTATGCTACTTCTTTGTTTGCTGTGGTCCAATTTCTGATTCAAACATTTCTTTTTATTTGATTTAGCTTGCACACTCGCGCTTACATCACACACAACAGGCACACACACCGGATTTATATATTGTATATAGTATACATATAGCCATATAGCCCGCCGACTTGGTGACATTCCATCATTGTCACTAATTTGCTAATGGAGAATATATGGCAAACAACGATGCGTAGAAACAATACACTCAACATTACGCATACGCCCCGGGGAGCACTTCTCCAATTCTCCTTCCTTGTTGCCTTTGTATTTGTGGCTTTTATTTTGATTTACACACTTGCTAGCTGTGTGTGTCTGTGTGTCGTGTGTTTTCATATATATATATATTTCAAATAGAAAGTCAAACTGGTTCCAATTAAATGTAATTAGTATTTTTCCTTGCTATTTCCTGTTCGTATAAATATAGTTTCTGTGTAATTTCAACTTTTCTCCATATATGTTTCATTAAATCGTTTAGAGTATCTTTGAGTTTTTAGTTTTAAGTTTTTAGTTTCATTGTGTAAAGCTTTCGTTTCGTACATTTTCAATTTTCAATGTCAATTTGTTGTTTTGGGCAAGCAGTGGCACTTCCGGTGCCGCAATGTACTTACACTTGAGAACTGCTTGCGCTGCTTGCAGCCCTTTAAATGCAACCCAGCCAATTGTGCCCATAAAATCGAGTTGTCGTTGGCCTTAACAATTTTTCCGCATATTTTCGTTATTTTTACAGTTGCACAAACACATCCATAATTGCATATTTATGGACATGCGGTACCTTGATTTTTTTTTGGCAGATTCGCGTTGTCTTTCTCGCTACGCATTTCATTTAGTTTCTATGCAAATTTCTGCACATGTGTGGGTGTTTATTTAAGCATGTGTGTGTGTGCGTGTGCAGGGCAGGATGAGAGAGAAAGAGAAAGAAAGAGAGAGAGAAAGAGAGAAAAGAGAAGGGGAGAGAAAGAAAGCAGATATTTTAATTGCCATACACGAATTTCAATTCCCATGCGTTTGCATCCTTGTTTATTTTGTATCTGTGTGTGTGTGTATATCTGTGTGCCAGTGTGCGTGTGTCTCCTTGGTGTGTCCAATGTGGCATAATGAAAACAACAACAACAACATCAACAACAAAAGCATGTCAAGCAATAACAGTTAGCCAAAAAAGTTAACGCTCACGCAAACTTCACAATTTCCATGTGAAATAATGTGAAATCGAATGGAACTCAATGGCAGCCTTTAATGCAAACATCCAAAAATCCAATAGAGTAGAAAGCTGCTTTAAATTAAAACAAAAACCCTACTTCTCCTCTTTTTGTGCCCCATACAATTTTGTTTATTTATCGCTTTTTTCGGCATAGTCGCCTATTCGGTATTCAATTTGCATTTCAATGACATCGGGGTTTTTGTTAAAGCAAAATATTTTATCGGCTGAAATTGACCTGTTCGTTAATCTGCATATTTACTTTTTTTGTCAATATGATTTCTGATCATTTTACAGAATTCAATTAAACATAATGTCGCTCTTTCAAATGCTTTCTCTCTCACACACATCCAAATCACACCCACACCCTCTAGGCTTTATAGGTATATAGCAAGCATTTTCTTTTGAGCAATTTCCTCCCTTTTTACAATTAATATTAAAGTTTTCGTTTGTGGTTTAATCAATATACTTTGTTTTTCCATCACAGCTAACGTCAATCTATATATAACACTAGGACATCTAACAACGTTTCTAAGAAGACTTTTCTGGGCACAAATAATAGAGTTTGAAAGTAAAAGTAAAAGTAAGGTAAGAGTTTGAATGCTTTTCATATATTTCGATTTTTGGTTCATTTTCACTTACATTTTCTATAGATTTATATGTAGTATTTAAGACTATAACACATTTGACAGTTTGCAACATCAATCGATACACACAGAGAACGTTTTAAATTCATCTTTTCAACATTGTTTACGCTTTCATAGTACAAATAAACATTTACGGTAGGGTGGATCCCGATTTTAATTTGTATTCCTATGCTTATTAAAAAAAAAGTATTTACAATTTTAGGATTTCTCTTTTCCCATTTTAAGTTTAAAAATAGATTATCGTGTTTTAAGGGCAAATAAAAATGATTAATCCTTCTTTAAGTTTGCCAATTTTGATTTATGCGGTATCCACCCTAAAAAAAACTAACATATAATTGATAAAAGCACACAATATATATATATTTTATACATATATTGAAACACCGAAACGGGCAAATGGTTTCCAATGGGGTTGGGGGTTGGTTTGCCACCGAAATCTCTAGATAATGTTTAGAGTTTTCAGTGGCATTGCGGTATATTTCTTTTTTTTTGAGTGTGGTGCAATGTGGTTGGGTGGTTGGTTGGGTGGTGCTGGCAAGGATACTCACTGCTCAGCGATTAGCGATTAGCAGGAGACACCCTGCTTGGCCACCGTGTACCAGGTGCTCACGGTGACCAGCGACGGGGAGTCGGGGGTGGTGGGTTGCTCACCCTCCGCCTCCCCCTCCCCTTCCGCTGGCACGATCACGTTGAGGGGTGGCAAAGGTGGCAGGGGTTCTGCTGCTGCTGCGACAGGTGGTTGTTGGGCTGCCGCTGGCGAGGATCGAGCCTTCCGCGGATGCCGCGACTTGTTCTTGGCCCTCTGGCTTTGACTCTGACCCTGCGACTGGTGGATGGGGTGGTGGAAGTGCATGGGCTGGGGGGTGTGAAGGTCGCGACCCACCTGCGGCCCCACCTGCGGACACCGGAAGCGGATGGCCTGCTCGTTGGCCACATTGATTTCCGGCCACCTCGTGGGTTGGTTACCCTGGTTTCTCTTCCTGCTCTTGCTGCGCTTCCTCGACTTTGACTTGGATTTGGACTTGGATCTTGGCTGCTGATGCAGCTGCTGCGACTGAGGCCTTTGGCAGTGCCGGCAGACAAAGGCCTGATCTTCGGAATCGGATTCAGACTCCCCATCCCGATCCTCCCGCTCATTGTCTTCATTCAAATTGAGTGTGGTTCCAGTGGCCGCCGAGGCGGTGGTGGTGCTGGCGGTGCTATCGCCATCCATGTCGATGATGTGACAACAGTTTTGGTGTCTAGTGCTATGTGGTTGCTGTTGCTTCTCTTGTTGCTTCTGCTGTTGCTTGTTCTTCGTCTTGTGGTTGGACTTACGTTTCTCTGGCTCCTGCTGGTGGTGCTGATGGTGCTGGTGGTGCTGATGATGCTGCTGCTGCTGCTGTCGCCGCCGCCGGGGCACCGTGTACTCATCGCCCTTGTCCGTCGGATATGGTCAGAACGCTGTGTCGAAGACGGACATCGACCGGGAGATGGCGTCGTCGTTGCGACAAGCCTCCAGGAACTCCTCCAGCGTGACCACGCCATCGCGATTGGTGTCCATTTTCTGCGGGGTAATATTTTATTTCATTATTTTTGGAACTGAAACGATTTTTTTTTATTTTTAAGAGATCTTTAACTGATATTTTTAAAAAATTATGAATACGTTCTATTTACAAATTATTTCCCTGTTTAATGAAGCCTTTCTTAGTTATCTAAAAAGGATTCTTTATAAATTTATACTTTTTTAATACAGTTTCAAAATTATTTCCCTGGTTAACGGAGTATTTCTTAGTTATTTAAAAATTATTCTTCGCCTTATTGAAAAACTAACCTTAACCTCTAAACATTATTATGATTGCTATCTTGATAATAATCAATTTTTATTAATAACAAAACACTTGACTTTATTTAACGTAAAAGAAGCAACAGCCGTCGAATGCCTACTGCTTGCCCTTGGCACTGCTTTGTCTCACTGCTTCCACTTCCGCTTCCGGCGCCCGAAAGCGTGCTACGAAATTGTGATTTCAAGAGCGGGGGACAAAAACAGGACAGGCGAACTTTCGAATGATCCTGGCCATCTATCATCAATTTCACTCTCGCATTCGCATGCCGTTATTTAAGGGCTTTCGTCGGCGCGCATTTGCTGCGCTCAATTTATTCCGAATGCCAACGACCGCTAATGACAACGCGTGACTGGCAAGCCAAACAGGACGATGTCCTGCGGACAAAGGACTCCCATTCGCATTCGCATTTCCAGCCTGAGTTGCTGCCCAGGCCAGGCCGGCAAATTGAAATAGACAATTTGAATTTGCATAATGCAAAGTAAATAAGTTTCATGTTCTCGCCAGTCAAATTCAAATTGTACGCGCGCAATTAGCATAAATAATGGTCGAGAATTTGCTTTGTCCCGGGATTTTGGGATATTTGGAATTTTAGTATTTCAGAATTTCGGAACTCACCTGGAAGATCTGCTCCACCTTGCCCTTGATCTTCTCCTCCTCGGGACACTCGTCGGGCAGGCGGCCCATCAGCTCGTATATGGCAGTTACAATGTCAGTCATTTCCTCCCTCGTAATGAAGCCGTCGCCATTGATGTCGTACAGCGAGAAGGTCCAGCGCAGCTTCTCCTCCACGGAGCCGCGCGACAGTATCGAGAGTCCTTGAACGAAGTCCTGTGGCAGAGGAAAAGAGAAATAAGTTGGCATAAATTCACGGGGTGTAAGAAGGTGGAAGGTGGAAGGGCGGAGGCGGAGGCAGATAGCCGGAATTACAGGTATAAAAGAAATTGAAAATATGTTTTAAGAAATTGCTCGTAAACCGCAGCGGCTAGGAGCAAGTAAAGTAAAGTACACCTGCGTTCAGCGTAATAGTTATGGGCTCGGGGAATATTCGATGAACCAATTGAGTAAAGGATAAACTTGTATTATTATTGATTATTATTTTTGACCAATAAATAAATTTCTTTATTTATCAAGAACCTAATACTTTTACACGAGTAATTTTCGCCTAATAAATCGGGTTTTAAGCCGAAATGCACCTAAATAAGGTCAAAACACGGAGTGTCATACCTTGTTGAGTTCGTAATTAAATTCGCAATCGATTGGCATTTCAACCTGGAAATTTTTTATTTTTGCCATTTTTCGCAAAAAATCATGATGGTACCCCTTATCAAAATTGCAAAAATTTGGCCAAAAATCAATTTTTCCAAATCAGTAGGAAAGTGGACTGATATTAATTATAAGGTCGTAAGCTGCTCAAAACAGTGCGTCTTTTTGATGTGGGATCATTTTTGACCAAATTACAGCAAAATATCTAGAACAAAAAAATCAAATTTTTACCAAAAATCAAGATCCTGATTTTTTGCCCCAACAATAAGCAGTATTTTGGCCAGAACAACGGAAATAATGGTCCTAGAACGGAATGTCATACCTTTTTGAGCTCGAAATTAAATTCGCAATCGATTGGCATTTCAACCTGGAAATTTTTAATTTTTGCCATTTTTCGCAAAAAATCATGATGGTACCCTTATCAAAATTGCAAAAATTGGGTCAAAAATCAATTTTTCTAAATCAATCGTAAAGAGCAGTGGTATTAATTATGAGGTCGTAAGCTGCTCAAAACAGTGCGTCTTTTTGATGTGGGACCATTTTTGACTAAATTACAGCAAAATATCTAGAACAAAAAAATCACATTTTAACCAAAAAATCTTATTTTTTTACCCTAAAATCTTATTTAAATAAGGAATTTAATTTTGGAGGAAATAGTATTCAATTCACCGCAGCTGTTTGCCTCCAAAACGCCGCATTTCTCACTTCCGGCTGCTGTGTCGCTGCCTCTGCTGAAGTGGACATTTATTTCTATGCTTTGTATGACAAATGTACCTAGATAAGAACTTGCAGGGAGAATGGGAGAAAGTTTTTACGAGCCACCAGCCCCGCTTTTCGGGTCTCCCGGAGGTGTTGAGGCATTTTGGGAAGGCCGCAGCTGACGGAGGACTGGGTCTTGCGTTTGCATACCGAATGGCAGAAATACCAAAAATAAGGGAAAAAATCAGTAAAGTAAGAAGCATAAAACGTAGGAGTAATGCAGAGGAATAGGAATGTTGAACTGGGACAGGGGCATCATTTGTGTCTTGTTCTCTGGCCATTTGGGCAATTGCAGGCGTCCGACTAATTTATCAAACCCAAATGGAATGGCCACAAAAAATGGCAGAGAATTCACCGAAAACGAAGCAAGAAACTTTCACGATTCGACGTGGACAAATTACAGAGCGGCAAGCTGGCAAAACAAGCTGAGAATTTAGAATTGAAAACGGAGAATGGAAAATTCGAAGTGAAGTTTGCACTCTGGCCGAGTGATTAGGCGGATTTATGATGCTTTTTGCCTGCTGGCCGATGCTTTGCACTGCTTGATAGTGGATTGCAGTGGATTAGATTTGGCAGGAAAAGGATGCAGGATGTGGACTGCTAAGGAGTCCTGGCCCATCGACTGGACCGAAGGGCAGGGCTTTTTTAAGATATTTGATTACTTTCGAGTGGGATTGTCAGTGGACAGAAAGCTTAAAAATAACCCTATTGATTTATAATTTACTTGAATAATATTCATAATAAAATTCCCTATTGGAAATCGATTTTTTCGATAATTACTGTATTGTTCTTAACTATTTCTAAAATAACCCTATTAATTTATAAAGGAATTCAAAGTTAAATTACCCGAATAATATTGTTTAAAAATGTGTAAAACTCTCTTATAATCTTACAAATATTTATAATCGATTTTTTCGATAAACCACTTTATAATTCCCAGCTTAATTCGTTTAAGCAGAACTACTGATTCGTTTTGCTTCATTTCATTTGCGTGATTCAATGAATTGCGATTGTGCGAATTGACCAGCATATTTCTGCTTTCCGCTTTGTTTCAGGGTTTGTTTAAGTGATCAAAACAAACTGCTGGCTGTTTGCAGCACTCAAGTGTCATGTTAACCTGGTTGCCTTGCTCCACTGCTTGCCAAAGGGGCGCCCTTTTGCAATCCTTTCTCCGCAGTTGCCAGGCAGTCCTGCTGGATTCTATATGTGCTCTCTATGTGTCCATATATGTTTTTATATTTATTTCAGCCCCCTCCGCACCGCCACTCGATTGCTTTTATCTCGCACACTTGAGCAATTTATCTTTTCTGCCAGCGTAAACAGGTCACACACTCTTTGCCATTTTCCATTTTCCATTTCACCATTTTACCCCTGGCATATTGGCCCTGCCCACAATTTCACAATTTTACAATTTCAATATGGCCCTGACAGGTTTGCTACCCTGTTTTTGTGCCCTTTCCACCCGTGTTGGCAGTTTAATAAACGCGACTGTCATGCAAATCGCGCATAAAACACCTTGCAACAATATGTGGAACTTAATTGAAAAGCGGAAGTCTACTTAGTCAGACCGTCGCACACAAAACTAGGGAATTACTGCTGCCATATGGCAGGGGCGTAGGAGAGGGGGTGCGACGGCGCAGGGGGATCATGGGTTAAGGGTGCTTCTTTGTACATGCTTTATATCGAGTACGTGCCTCGTAGTCATTACAATTTTGAGGTCATTATTCAACAACGAAAATGGCGAGCAGGCAAAAAGGCAAGAGAGCTGGCAAAGATAAGCTGGAGGAAAAGCGGGAGAAATGCTAAATGCTGGTGGGAAAGCGGTGGGAAAGCGGGGCCCTCAGAGATGGACGGCTGACGTGATTGCGATTATTCCTTGCCAGACACTCGAGGATGTAACGCTGACTGCCGGCCTGCAATATTGATTTGTAAATTGCACTTCACTGTTCATAAATGCAAACGAAGGCTTGCAAATGATTCAATAAAATATTTATAGGGGTATATAGTACTGTCTGCTTTTAGTTGTGTTTTTCTTTCGCTAGCATGGGAAAAGTATATTGCAATCCATATATCTCGTTGAGCTCGAAATTAAATACCCAATCAATTGGTATTCAAATCTGGAACTTTTTAATTTTGCCATTTTTCGCAAAAAATCATGATGTAACCATCATTAAAAAGTGCAAAAATTGATAAAAAAAATAAATTTTCCAGATAGTGATGGGGATCGTTAGTTTCGGTGTTTATTTCGATTTCGTTCATTGAGAATAAACAATCCTGAAATCTCGCAAAACTTCGTCTCAGAGATATTTATTTATTTTTCCTAATAATAACTTTTGAACATTTAAAGACCATTAATTTTTCTACTGACTTCTCATTATCTTAGCATTATCTTTATGGTATTTTGGGGGAAAACCCTCATCCGTGTCACGCTCTCCTCCCTTTAGGCCGCTTTCCCTTTTTTCCCAGGGCTTTCCCTTTGTTTGACTTGGGTTTTGCGTTTCTGTTTAGCTGCCATCCCAGGCATTTCTTTTTCTGCACTTCGCTACTGGCTGTGTGTGTCTTGGGCTCGCCTACTCTTATTTTTTCGCCTCTGCCCTTGTTTTTCCTTGTCCCCCCGCCCCATAAAGTCACAGTGCCTGACAAAGTTGGCGTTAAAATTGCCATAATTCATCGTTTCAATGGCATTGTGTGTGCTCTTGCCCCCTTCCTCTGACAACCGGAAGTGGAGTTCATGTTCGGACATTGCAGGGGCAGTCGCAAGACAGTGGATAAAGTGCAAAAAAAATTATTCGCAATTTGCATGCGCCACGGGTGGTGGGGGAAAATGCTGGCCCCCGCCCCTTGATCCGTGGAAATTTATTCGGCTTTCCTTTCTTTCCTCTTTTGTTTTGCATTCCTCGCTGGCTGTACTGACTGCAATAGAAACGTTGACAATGACAGGCGACAGGCGACAGACGACAGCGGCGAAACACGCGAATGCGCTGCAAACTATAGATTTCCATTTCCATTTTTATTTCCCCCTGGCCGCCAGCATTTTATTTCAATTTCGAGACATTTCACTTTGATTTCTGAATTTCGAGCATTATTTTTCGGCTACCGCGCTGATTTTCCCCTTGGCTAAAAATGCAGTGGTTGCATTATATTTCTCATTTTCCATTTTTCGCGACCGCATCCAATTGGAGTTTTCCACATTTTTGGCGTCTAATAGTTTTGCGTAATTATCAAAGTATGCTAATGTCCGAGACCAGAAAATTAAGTCCGTTTTCCGACGCTTTGCTATGAAAATTTTTAACACAACTGCTTTTTAATGTCTGTTTAGTGTTATCTCAAAGATAAAGTGGAAATTTAGCGGATTATTGAGGTAACAGTTGGGGACCAAGAAGATATAGATATAAGTTAAATATTTGAAGCCAGCAAAGGAATTATCTGCTGGCGATTAACAAAAAAATAAATTGTTGCATTTTTAAATGGTCTGTAAGTTACTGAAATCCAAAGATTTAAAAGCTTTAGTCAATTTCCCGATTAAATTAAATTCCTTACTTCGAGCTATGCTAAAGAAAAAAAGTTTGTGCGAAGAATATTCTGCGAAAACAGTAAAATCAACCCGTTTGCTTGTGAATTATTCCTTTTTTCCCCCAAATTTACTCCTTCAATGACCCAACACTTTTCGGGACCCAAGAACTCAAAGGACCTTTAAGGACGAGGGGAGGGGGGGAGGGGATTTTAATGGGGGGCGTCTGGCGTCTGAGTGTGTACTTTGCGTATTACAACTTTTATGCTGTGCCAGTTAATAGAGCGCTTAAACATCTATCTGGCGATACTCTTTGTTCTCTTGGCTCCCTGGTCGCTGTCACTAATAAACCGTAACTAAAGGCGCTTATAAGGAGGAGAAGAAGAAGCAGAAGACGTTGTGCCCCATGGACCTCTGCCTGTTGTTGTTGTTGTTTCTGGATTCTTCGGGGGCGTTTTGCAGCGTCATTTGGCACCCAGCCCCATTTCCACCGCCCCCTCTGAGCCAAATCAGCTTCATTTAGAAACTCACGATGCTACACAACTTTTGCTTCTAAGCTGCACTGAGAAAAACTTTGTTTTCTATCTATAAAAGTAATATATTTTAATGGCCTTTTACAAAAGAAATGGAAATATTATCAGGGAACTTAAAAAAAATATATTTACTATTACATTTACATTAATCATTTATTATTAATTTATTATTAATCTACATTTATTAGCTATAAAATGATCATTTTCGCGCTGTGCTTGTCAGCCTCAAACCGAAGCTAAGAAAACTGTACTCAACTCGACTCGGCTGTCAGCCATATTTTATACTTAAAATGTCTAAAGTAATTTCATTGTACTTAAGTCTGCAGGGCCTCCCCCTCCTCCTCCCCCTCAAAGAGAACCACCCACCAACCTCCGGGTGACCTCAACAATTTCACTTTGCGCCGCATCATCGTCCGGACATTAAGAGGCGTACCGAGTAAATTAAATTGAATTGCCCAAAGAAACGAGCCTGTATGTTCAGGTTCCTCTCCTTTCCTGTACTTGAAGCCTTACTTGAATGCGAGTCCGAGACCTACGCATTTGCCTGGCCATTCAATTGGCAAGATTAATTATCGATAACGATAGCCAGCGATAAACGGCAGCGATTCAATCACAACTACGGCCACACTCCCTCTTCCTTTGCAACCGGACTGTACTTTCCGTCGGCCTGTCCTGTTGCCTCAATTATGTAGTTGGCCATAAATTTGCCCAGCTCTCAACGCCCTTGAACGCATCCCATATTATCTGACGGAAAAGGCGTCCAGGTGCACTGGGAAAAAACTGGAGAACGTAATTTGTATGATATTATATGGTCTCACAATTATCTCATTTTTTCTTTACTACTTTTAAATGCTTTGTTTTTTCCAGTGTAAGCACCCACAAATGGCTGGCCATTATATGGTATATAGCTTGTGTGGCCCTGTGTTCGCTTTAATTGCAAATGGCGCCGACAGACAGGAGTAAGTGCCACAAATTGTTGTACGAAAGTTGATTTCTAAGACAATTTCTCAATTTCCTCCCAGTGCTCGATGGTCCAATCTAAATCGCAATTTCGCCTCCGGGCCCCCCCCAAACCCAACTCCATTAGTTGGTCTTCATTGGAATCGAGATTGAGATGAAGAGACCTGGTCAGGAGATCCGAAACCGAAACCAAAACACACACATCGCATCGCACACGGAAATGAGCTGCTCAAATGCTTCCCATTGCATTTCTCATGCTCGTCTCTGGCCGCAGGCCTTACTTTGATGTCGCACACTGTCGTCGGTGGGGAAGAGAGGGGGGTTCAGAAGAAGGAAAAAGAATTTCCACAGAAATGAAAAGCAGTGCTGACTCGTGGATATCATTAAGGCCGAGGCCAGGTTTTCTTAATCAGTATTTTCCACCATAAAATATCAGATTTTAGCCGTAACTTTCAAAATAATGATCCAAAAATGGAATGTCATACCTCGTTGAGCTCGTTTTTTAATCCCCAATCGATTGGCATTCAAACATGGAACTTTTTAATTTTGGCAATTTTTCGCAAAAAATCATGATGTAACCATCATTAAAAAATGCAAAAATTTATCAAAAAATATATTTTCCAAAAAGTGATGGGGATCGTTAGTTTAGGTTGTTAGCTGCTCAAAACAGTCGGTCGTTTCACTTTCGGCCTTTATTTGCCCAAACAACGACCGAAAAACCGTAAAACAATGATTTTTTTCGTCTAAAATTCGAATGGTTCGTAGAATTAAGAATTGTTTGCCCTAAGTGTTTAATTTTGCGGCTGACACTGATACAGTATATTTTTTGGTTGCTGCTCCAAAGGGTTTTCCGATACCTCCGCCTTTGCCAGGCAAAATTTGCTTAATCTCGAGTCAAACAAAAACCATAAAATAGAAGAAACACTCACCTCGAAGCTGACAATGCCGCTGTGATCCTGATCCAGTGTATTAAATACATAGTGCGCGTAGAGGGTTGGATTGGCTGTTTATGTTGGTTGTGGCACATTTTCGACGTTGTTGGTTGAATGAAAGCAAGAGAAGAACAGCGTTAAGTGAGAGAATTCCACGGGTTAGCAGCAAGCTGGCAAAAGTGGACCAATTAGGTCTCAACTGAAGCGGTTAAACTTTTGGCAACATTATCAAATGAACTCTAGACATACAAATACACGCACACATCTAGATGAACGTATACAAAACCACATACACAGGAAAAAACAGATAAGGTGAGAAAATGAAACGATTTCTATTAAGAAAATCTAAAATAATATATTTAAAAAATATTATTAAGTTCTTTTTTGTAGAAAATATAACCAAATAAAAACACCTTTTAAAGTTCAACCTTTGTGACGAAAAATATTGGAAATAAATAACGATTTCTATCTGTGTAAGCAAACGATAACGGTTCAATAGTTGGCCAGTATTAAGATATGAGTTTCGTTCTGGGTTGGCAACTTTTATGTGGGTCGTCTTCGTCTTGGTTGCGAAAACTTTCTTTCTTCGCTCTTTTCCTTTCGGTTTTGTCAACCGCAAAAGTTTTTCCATGTTTTCGTTCCGGTTGCTGCTATTTCTTCTTTTTTTCTGTGTGCTTTTTGTCTTTTCTGTTTATCAGTGGAAAAGTCAACATTTTTTGGGACTCGGGGTTGCCGGAAAGTTTTCCAACTGGGGTTGCTTTTCCAAAAAAAGGGGATGGGAACCAGTTTGCAGCTAATTATGCGAGTGTCTCCTGTGTCTACTGATAAGCACTGCTTGCTGGCGGCACTGCTTGGAACTAAATTTTAGAAGCACAAAAAAAGTGTTGCCTACTTATGAGGGCATTGTGAGTGGGGGGAGTTTTCCCGCTTTTCCCGGCCTTGCTATCGCACTTTCCGACTTTCAGCAAGAGCACTTAGCGCACTTAGTGTCCCCGCCGCCATTTGCTCTGTCAGAGGAATTTCTTTATCTGGCCATCACATAACATTTTGATTATTGCGCTCGGCTACTTTTTTACGATTCGCGTTTATGTTTATGACTTGATGCTAAAGTTTTTTTTTTTTTTTTTTTGGGGTGGTGGGATGTGGATTTATACGCTCGCAACGTTTACACCTCTTTGGCAGGACGACGACGTCTCGTTGGCAAGGCGTCAGTTCATAAAGCCGCTTCAAATGCCATTCGGTGCTCGCCTCGATGCCCCGAAAAGTCGAGTCTCGAGTCTCGAGTCGCGGGGTCATAAAGCGAAAGTTCAAGCCATTCACTCGAATTTTGTTGCATTTTACTGTTTGCAGTCGATAACTCAATTTGGGGCACAAGTTTACTAACACGCTTCAAGAGATTAGCGTTTAACTAGTGGTACTTGCTTAATTTTTAAGCTTAATATTTCTTGTTATTAGATGTTATCTTTATTTTTATTTTATATTTATTTTTTCTTTATTCTAATTATTTTATAGGTAAACTAAGTAAATTCATTTGACTTAATTCACTGAAGCAACTTCAATTTCACCTTAATAACTTTTCCATTCAACTTTCTTGTCTTGAACTTTAAACTTTGCAGCGCCTTAAAGCCGCGAAACGCACTGTACCGCACCGTGCCCACGTATATACATTTATTTGTCCAAATTTATTGTCGCCGTTTGATGCTTAATGTGTTTTTATGACGCATGACGCAGAGTGCCACGCCCACAAGGTCAAAGCTCAATGGCAAAGATGGCATCTGCTTCTCATCTCCCTTTTTTTGCGTATTTTTTTGCGCTGTACCAAATCAAAAATGACTGCAAATGTGCCATGTAAAAATTGTTATAAAATTTGCGCAGAAATTTGCCAAAAGAAACGGCGCGAAAAACAAAAAAAAAAGGGAGAGAAAAAAACAAGGGAATACAGCCAAAGTGATAAATCACCAACTTTGATGATGGTTTTTTTCTCGCTTTTTTTTTGTCTTTTGTGCGTGTGTGTGCGGCAAAGCAGCTTATCAAAATAAAAAATGATTTCATTATTTATTTTTCATCAGATAACGGCAGACATGATGAAGAATAAGGGGCGTCGTCAGCGGGAGTGAGGAATGTATGTACATAAGTCCCATGTTTACTGGGAATTTCTTATTCTTATTCGTATTCCCCATTTCCGTTTCCGTTTCCGCCTGTCAATGGGGCCGCCGCCGCCGCCATTGTCGCTAGTCAAAATAAGTTTATTATAATAATTCAGTGTCCCAACATGTGTAGCAATAACTTTTCCTTCCTTTTGGATTTAAGCGGCAGCCTAAACAGAATTTATGGCCCACTGCCGAGGTGCGAGCGAATTCTCTCTAGCAATCAATGCGAATTATTCTAACTAAACAGTGGATCTTATTTTCTGCAATAAATAACTGATAAATTCCCTGTTTAAAATGGCGTAAAATAAATCCTAATTTGACACATTTAATCCAATAGCAAGATAAGTCGAATTTTGCTTTTAACAAAATTAGCCACAAAATGGACATGATATTTTTTCGGTGAGTAATCAACCCTTTCGCAGACTCTTCTTTGCATTAACTTTGACATTTTTGTTTTGGCATCGAAACGAAAACGAAAACGAACCCTTATCCCGAATTCCCAGCCCGCAGCAGCAGAGACCCTTGCCCGCAGTAATCTATCAGAAATTCATTTAGTTACCGGCCACTGAAAGAATCCATCCCCTTTTCATCCTCAGTTTCGGTCTCATCTTCAGTTTCAGCTTTTTGCAGATGTAAATGTAAATTGTGCACAAAAAAGCAAAAAGCTGGGACCGACAAAAAAAATGCAGAAAAAATTTTACTTGTTGTTCAAACGAGGTCAAGTGGGTGGCTTGGCTGCCACGCCCCCTGCCCCCTCCCCCGTCCGCCTCCGCGACCGCGACTTGTGAAACATGATTTTGCTTTTTATGCTTTTTTGCTAATTTGCTTTCTGCATTTCATATTTTCAGAGGCAGCGGCAGCGGCAAAAGCCAAGGGCCAGTTTGGCTTGGGCCGGCCAAACAAAGAGTCGCCTTTCGGCCAGGCATCGTCATTAGCATCCACCCAGTTCGTAGTCCCTAGTCCCCAGTCAAACCATCCCCATACCATCATCATCTGATGATGATCATCAGTGGAACTCTTTGGGTCACACAGTTTTATCAATGGCTTTTGCCTTGGGTTGACTTTTTTGTTTGGCCGGGTCGGTGGGAAATCTCCAGTCAATTGCCATTTGTTTTGTGGTCCTTTGCTAATCGTAACTCTCATTTTCATTTTCATTTCTATTCGAGTTCGAATTCCGCCCTTCCGTTTCCGCTTTCGCCTCTTTAACCCACATCGATTGGTATTGGCTGTTAAGTGAAAGGAACGGATATGCAGTTTTTGAATGTGGAAACAATTTTCCTCTAAGTGAGATATGTGAAGTATAAAATAACAGGGAAAATTTAAGAATAATAATAATAATTATTTAAAATATTTATAAAAAATTAAAGAACAGGACCCTCACACACTCTTTCTCTTACACACAAAACACATTGACATGAACAACAAAGCAACCAACACAAATTCAACACATTACTAAGCAGTAAGATCAACAATTAAACTAAAAGGTTAGTGAACTGGAACACGGAACTGGAACGCATATCGATGTTGATATTGTTATCGATACTGGGATGTTGCAACTCGAACTACACGATGTTTTGATTTTGGTGGTGACTGTACTTGTACTGTTTGGCTAGCTAGCGTGTGAGACCGATAGGTGCTATCGTTATGGCTATCGGTATCGCTATCGCAAGGCAATTTAAAATGGGCTAAACGCTAATGCAGATAATAGAGCAACAATACAATACAGCAGGCGTTAGTAATCACTAGTCAAGTCAGAAGGGTTAACGAAACAAAGTATACTGTACCGCACGAACCTCCCTGTGGAAAGAACTGCGAGTAGATCACTTTGAAGGTGTCCTCCTTGACGACGCCCGTCGGGCACTCAGCCTTAAATCCCCGGTAAATTCGTTTGATCTCGTCCTCCGTGAAGCGGGTGGCGCGGCTCAGCGCACTTAGCGAGTCGGGCCTGTACCGTGCCGGCGTCTCGAACTCCTCCAGTTCGGAATCTGAAAATTAAATGGGTTGTTTGTTATATATTTTAACATTTTAAGTTCAAAGTTTTAAGTTCACTTGTTAGTAAATTACAAACTAGAGCAAGGGAATTAAACAGAAACAAATGGCAAAAACTTGCTAGTTATTTTTTGTTGACAATGACTTTCAGGATTTTTCACAGATTCCTTGGTCCTTCTAACAAATTTGCTAAATGGAAAGTCATGAAGCAGTGACGCTGTAAGACTCTTAAAAAAGTTGTTAAAGTTTCTTAAGCTGAGTAATGATTTACTTTAATTTCTTCAATTTATTTGTGATACTTTAAAGCCTATTCAGGGTTGCGCCCTTTTTAAAATCATCGAGCTGGTTTGGCATCGCTTTTAAGACTTGCATAACGTATTCAAAGAACCTTCAGTTGTTAAAGAGACCAAATTTACTGCCTAAAAGCAGAACTCACGAAACACAAATTTTTTTAAATTTCCCGAAGCAGTTGTCTGATGTACGACAAATCCACAAGCTACGCAGCATGAATACGTATACGTACGTTGCCTTTGGGGCATGTCCTAGTCCTAGTCTTTTGCTTTTGCCTTTGCCACACACCCCCCGAAAAGCCCCCTAGAAAACCCCTTGAAAGTCCTTCCTTCGCCTCTCTTGCATTTACCCAAAAAAAAGCGACACACGCGATTTTGATCTGTTGAGTCGCTCGAAGTGTTTGAATTGACTTGCCAGTTGCCTTAAGTATCTTGTACTTTGGCTGTCGAAAGTTTTCGCTTCTTTTTCGAGTCACCTCCATGGGCGGAGGCTCAGGGGGGTTATCAGTGGTTGGTTCCCTCAGAAAAGGTAAAAGGCTCTTGAGTATTTCCCCTGCCCAACCCCCCTCCTTTTCGTTCTTACTTTGACTTCGCGTCGGTGTGGTTTTCTTTTTGAATGGTGAGCGGCAAAAAGAAAAAATGCTCTTTGTGGCTGAGGTGCCTCGATTTTAGTTAATTAAAAGTTTTAACCTCACACACGACCACTTTTAACTGCACCTTAAACAAATTTGGAGCCTGCATATTCCCAAAATTACAGGTTTTTGGGAATATTAAATTACGGTTCTTAAAACACTAAGCAGAAACCTTCACCCAAATAAAAATATTTCGTAAAAATGTAGACACCGTAAATTTATACCATAAATAAATGCTAATTTTACTCTCTATAACTTTTTAAATATAATAAATATTAAATAACAAAAACGGCTTGTTTTCTTCCAGTGTTCAAGCAGTGCTGACGGCACACACAGAGAAAATTCGGTGAGTTGAGCTCACGCGCTTGACAAATGGCTGCTTAAAAATGCATGAAACCAGGCAGCGGAAAACGGGGGAAATTCACAGGGAAAGGGAAGGGGATTTTCCCTGGGCTAGGGCGTTGAATTGTTGGCCATGCTAAGCGTCCGAAAAGCAGGTTTCCACCTAGGAACAAAAGGAAAGTATGGAGTGAAAAATGCATGGTTGGGCAAGGAAAAGGAGGTGGTGGGTGGGAAAAGTGGGTGGCTGGCAGACGACGGCCTGCAGTTGTCGCTGCCTTTGGCGTTAGTTTTTAATTTGCTCGCTGGCTTACGCCACACACACATTCACACGTCTGCGAATGCATTTTCATTTTAGCCAAAATTGGAGAGCCAAAGTCGAGCGCTTATATTTTGTTTTAGTTTTTCCGGGCAGGAATTTAATCAAAAACGAAAAATGAAAAATCTGAAGGCAAACAAAGTAGCTTATGACAAATTAAAAATATTCAAAAATATTTATATAGGGTTTCCACAAGACAGAAGCATAAAATTCCTCTTAGTTTAACTAATTTACTTCAATGGGAATTTGTTCGGGGTTTTCTTTGGGCTTTCCTTTTCTTCCCCCACTGACACTCACTTTGTCTGTTTATGGCTTCCTTTTTATTTCTTGTTCCCATCCCCATTTCCATTTTCCATCTTTTCACTCGTTTCACTCGAGTGGATTTGCATTCGCATTCGCATTCTTTTGGGTTTCTGCGTTTTATGTCTCTGGCATCGTTTGCATCTTTCTCACATTGTGAGCAAAATGTTGACGAAATGCATTAAGTCTAATATATATTCATGTGCAGCTGGCATCCGACGTTTTGTTTGGCTTTAATTTACCAAAAAGTTTGTCCCTCAATTTTTCTCGCTTTTCCCTTTTGGCCTCGTTTTTTTTATTCATCTCTTTTCGCCCTTTATTATCAGCTGCTGGCGCTGAATTTTCACGTAAATGTCTAAATTATTTGTGCGACAAACAAAACGGTCTGTGTTGATGATGCGACAGCTGTTAGGTGAAAAACAAACGGAATTCTAACAAAATAAATCGCAAACAGCGGCGACCAAATGCAGGCAACACTTTTTTTCGTAGGCCCACTGCTTGCAAAGCAGTGCATGCTAGACCAACAAATAGCCTACAATTATTTAAATTCTCAGAACAATGAAGGGTTTAAACCTTGAAAATGTATAGGCAAATTTAAAGGCCTTTAGTTTGTTAAAAAATACTTATTTATGGCAAAAGGCTACATTTATATTGTTTGATTTTTATTTCTGAAAAAATGATAATTTTAAACAATTAAACTAAATTAAAATTAATTAATTAAAAATAATTAAAAAAGAAAAATTAAGAAAATAAAATCAGAGCAATTTGAACATATTTAAAAATTACTAAAAATAGTCAAATCATTTAAAATAGTTGTTTTTTTTTACTCATAACTCTAAGATGATTTTAATAAAACAATTAACTTCTTAGCATGAAATGTGTGTTAAGTTTCGCCTCATTTTTGACTGCTGAGTACTCGCCTCTTCGAGTTTGGCCCTTAAGCGCTTTTTGTGGTTTTTGTTTTGGTTTTTATTTCGATGGCACCTGCTGGGGTCAAGGTGTGAAAACACATGCCTCATTTAGCGGGGGGTGGGGGTGGCTGATGCTGGGGGCCGAGGAGGCGGGCAGAGGGCGTGGCAGCTGTGGTCTGGCAATTGGCAAACATAACAATAAACAAGAGGATGACAGTGGCAGGCCATTGCGGGCATTTGCAGTTGGTGCCTCTGCCATTGTTGTCCGTGTAATTTCAGATAGAGCACAAAATAACCGAACCGAACCCAGTTGCAATTGCACTGAAAGCCCACTCATTTGCCACCCACTTGGCCACCACCCACCGCCCACTCACCCACCACCCACTCACCTCATCTTGCATGAGTTCGCATAATAAGTTCCTGTTTATCTCGACTCGGTTTGCATTTGTTTGGCCAGCGTTGTCTGCATCGCTCCTCTTATCCTTGCCCCTCCCTCCCCTCCCTCCCTTCCTTCCCCCTCCCCCTCTATATACATGTGTGTGTGTGTGTGGCTGCGCAGGTGTCATGTTTCCGTTTCCGCTGCAACAGCGGCAGCAGCAGCAGCCGCCGCCAGTCAAGTGCAAATATTTTTGCATGCTGCACCTCGCACACTCAACAAACAGCTGTGCTCGAAAAAATAGTGGTGAATAAAAATAGAGTAATTTCCATAACTCAAAAACTAAACAACTAAAAAATAAGTATAATTGTAATAACTTTTTACTTTCAATTTGTTTAAAAAATACTTTTAATTTAATAAAATATATCTAATCAAATTAGATTAATAGATTTTTGGCATAGAAAAATACATAAGATAATGGGAATAAATAAAATAAAATAAATATTATGGTTTGATAAATATGTTCATTAACTATTTGATTTTACTATAAATTATGGCTTTTAATTTATGTTGCTAAAAATATTAAAAAAAAAAAAAGGATTACCACTCCTACTATTTCGACTGCAATTGTGAGTAAGGAAAGTGAAAACCGCAGCCAGCACCGCCCTCCGCCCACCGCCCACTTTGGGGGGTGTGGCATCGGTTTTTATTAGGTATGCGCTGCAGCTCTTGTTTCTGTTTCTGTTCTCTGTTTTGTTGTGCAGTAAAAATATTTGCTTTCGTTCAATTTCAAGTGTGCGGCATGTCGATAAGTGCCAGCGACTGCAGTTTTTCCAAATGTTTACCTCGCCAACAGCAACAGCCACGCCCCCTTTGTCAACTATAAAAGTGCAAATTAATAAAAAATATATATAAAATGTTAGGGGGTGTTTGAAGGGAGGGATGCTATCGTATGGTATGCCTTTGAAGATGCTCACTCAATCGAAGCATTCACAGATACTCACACACAGCAGAAGCATCTTGAAATGCCTTTGGCTGCTTTAACGGCTTTTACTGCCTTTCTTTTTATCTCTCCGGCTCTTCCGCTTTCTTTCTGCTTTTCGATCGACAAACCGAAGAAATAAAAGAGATGTCTGAATACACACGCTCTCCGCCTTTTGGGGAGAATTCAATTTTATGCTGGCCATTGAAGATTTATAGGGTTTTTGTTTTTCCAAGCGAAAACATTCTTTATGATGGAAATTCTGAAAACTGGAAATTAATTGGTGCGTCATGAAAACGCCCTTGAATTTGTCAAACTGCAGTGACATTAAAACTTGGCTTAACTTGATCACAAAGAATGTATATAAATTCTGCCTTCTAAATTATAAATTATTTTCATTAGTTTTTAATTGCACCGCCTGCGACTTTGTTTAAATATTAATGGACCCAAAATTGCTGGGATTTTTCAATACATCTTCCTAAGCTCTTCGGTCTCACATTTTAAAGCCTCACTTTAAGCCAAAGGATTTTCATTTCCTGGGCTTAGCTTCGAGAATAGTTTATTGTATAAAGAAATGTGTACTTTGGCTGCATTTTCCCCTCGCACTTCCCTCGATTTTTTTGTATGTGCTCGCCAAGATGAAAACCCACTAAAAACAGATTTATCCACACATGGATGGCACAAGAAAAATGAGGGAAAAAACTAGAAAAGAAGGCGAGCAAAAAGTTGGACTGCAAGTTTGCCGCACAGACAATGCTCCGACACTTATCTCATTTAATTTCGTATAATTTTTTCCTCCTCAGGCGGCACACACACACGCACACTCACTTACACACACACGTGCAGT